GGATTCTGGGAAAGGTAGGAGAAAGCCCAAGAGACACAGGACGCTTGCCACTGGCATCCCATAAGTCTTATAAAATATATAGATTTATGATAATTAAGACTGAGCTAGCAGATGAGAAATCCTAGTCATTGGCCATGCAGCATTTGTACCTAATATAAGTCTCTGTATGTTACCTGGGACCTTAACATGGCGGCGGGCAGAACTTGGGCCACCTGGCGGAAAGCGCCCATGTGGCAGCAGGGCTCGGGCAGCTTGGCGCGGGCAGAACTTGAGCCACCTGGCGGAAAGCGCCCATGTGGCAGCAGGGCTCGGGCAGCTTGGCGGAAAGACTTTGTTACAGTGGCATGCACCTTTAACCCCAGCAGAGAAAGGCAGATCTCTTGTGAGTCAGAGCAAGTCCAGGGCAGGCAAGGCTACACAGAAAGCGTATTTCCAACCTGCCCCCCACCCTGACCCAAAGAATCTATGAGCTAAAAGTGATATTCAAGTTGGAATTGAGAGGCTTACTAAGGGAGGAGCAGTGGACTGTCAGCTAATAAATGTAGAGGGATGATACATTTGAGAGATGCTTCTAAGTAAAATATCAATGTAAATGGAATACTAGATTTGGGAACTCCAACTTGTAGGACAAATGCAAGGAAATAGTGGATTCAGGCAAGGATATCAATGAATGCTAAAATTATATTGTGAACATGGCATCCATATTGCCTCCAAGTAGCTTTCAATCCACTTGTTTAAAAAAAAAAAAAAAAAAAGTAACAGGGGAAAGTAGGGATGGGTACAGAAGACACAAAGTGATCAAGCACATTGGAATACTTGACAACTCATGTGGGCCATAATGAATGCAACGTGACATCTATTAAGTCTTTTGTCAAACTATTTCTCCTCAGCATATCCTCATGAGAATTAAGACTTACATGCAACTGACACAATCTTTCAAGTGTTAATTTCCTTAAACACTAAAAGGGCAGGGGAGTTATTCTAGAACAAAGACAACTACTGCTCCGAGACAGGCAGGGTAGGGTGGGGTGCTCAGAAGAAACTTGGGGGAAACTGAGTCTGCATATACATTTATTATGCACCAATGTTAAAACTTTGTTGGTGAAATGATTATGTTATGACCAAGTGTCTACTTGGGGTTTGGGTACTTACTGGAAATTCAACTAGAAAGCCTCATGTGCTAGACAAGCACTCTATCAATGACTTATACTCCTGGCCCAAACACCCTTAAATACAGGCTCAAGCAGTAACAGGCAAAGTATAAAACCCTTTTCTTGTGCACAAAGCCCTGGGTTCAATCCCAGGACCAAGTCAGAACAAAGTACATGATGGGGAATATCCTTCTGTAGGCTTTGAATATGTTTCTCTTATTGGTTGATGAATAAAGCTGTTTTGGCCAATGAACAGGCAGGATTTAGCCAGGCGGGAAATCAAACAGGGTAGGGAAGGTAGTAGGGAGTCAACACCATATAGCTGCTGGGCAGGCAGGGTGCCCGGGGAATCTCCTATAAGCCAAGGCCACGTGGAGACACACAGATTAATAGAAATGGATTAACAATTAGGAGACAGCTAGCCAGCCAATAAGAAGCCTGAGCCATCTGCCAAACAGTTTATAATTAATATAAGCATCTGTGTGTTTATTTGGGATTAAACAGCTGCAGGACAGACACTTCTGTCTGCAAGTACACACATAGGTAAATGAAGCAAAGGTGGCAAAATTTTTACAGCTGGATATAGGTAATGAATATTTCATTCCACTATACTTTCAACTTTCCTATACCATTTTCAAAACATGAGGATAAAATTTTATTTTCTGTAAGGTATGATGTGTAAAAGGTCACACCTGCACTGAGACTAAAGAAAGTAGGAGTCCCTCCCTACCACTCTACCTTGTTCTTCGAAGCAGCTTCTCACTGAGTGTGGAGCCCCTGTTTTTCAGCAATGCTGGCAGTCAGCAAACCCCAGCAATCTCCCTACTACTGGGATTGCAGACGTGTGGGGACACAGCTGACTTTGACATGGGTGCTGGGATCACAACTCCGGTGCTGATGACTGTGCATCAAGCAAGCACTCTTTAACTACTAAGCCATCTCCCCAGTCCAAGAATACAAATTTTAAGGACAGAAATCATTTACATATACCATGAGTGTGTATCCACTTTTGCAGAGGATAGTTTTCTGTTGCCAATTTCAACAAAGCCAGAAGTGATTTAGAAGACAATAATTAAGGAAGAATAGCACACCCCAAGCCTTGTCTATAATTTAAAACACATGGGAGACAAGTATTATTATAAATGCTGGTGAAGAGGTTCTAAACTACTTACCCACAAAAAAACATAAAACAAAGGTAAGGAATGTGAGTTTATTTTCACTGTCACTGTAACTGGATTTGGAGTCACCTAGGAGACAAATTTATGGGACTGTCTGAAATGCTTCCACAGTTTTACCTGAAAAGAGAAGACCCACGCTGAATGTAAATGGCAACATCCCTTGGGCTAAGGTCCTGGACTGAATACAAAGAGGGAAAGGAGGAAGCCAGCTAAGCGCCAGCATAATCTCATCGGCTTCCCAAGGACACAAGGTGACCTTCAGGTTGATGATGCTCTATCACAGTGCCTTTCTTCCAAGACGCACCATGTCCCTTCTAAACTAGAAGCCCAAATAAGTCTTGCCTTAGTTGTTTTTTTGGGTACTGTCAGCAACAAAAAAAGCACTAATACCAAGGGCAGACAAGTTTTCTTGGTATTGGTGACCATATATTGTCAATGTAACTGGATTTGGAGTCACCTAGGAGACACACTTACAGTAAGTGCAAATGGACAAGAGGAAAAAGAACGATCATCTCACCAGTTAGCCTGTGTATTCTGCAGCAGAGTTTAGCACTGCCTACTATACACAAGGCCACCGGTTCAATCCCAGCACTGACAAAAAAGTTAATACATTAACTGTGGTTGTACACTGATGAAAGTAGATGTTTTGTAAACTAAATATATTTTTAATTGGAGGTATGTAATGAAACTAGAGCCCACATTGTTTTGTTTTGTTTTTTAAATCCAAACCAAGGAAAGCATCCCCACCAGCATGTCTCATCTTTTCACATCAAATCCAAACCAAGGAAAGCATCCCCACCAGCATGTCTCATCTTTTCACACCCAAGGACACAAGGTGACCTTCAGGTTGATGATGCTCTATCACAGTGCCTTTCTTCCAAGACGCACCATGTCCCTTCTAAACTAGAAGCCCAAATAAGTCTTGCCTTAGTTGTTTTGTTGGGTACTGTCAGCAACAAAAAAAGCACTAATACCAAGGGCAGACAAGTTTTCTTGGTATTGGTGACCATATATTGTCAATGTAACTGGATTTGGAGTCACCTAGGAGACACACTTACAGTAAGTGCAAATGGACAAGAGGAAAAAGAACGATCATCTCACCAGTTAGCCTGTGTATTCTGCAGCAGAGTTTAGCACTGCCTACTATACACAAGGCCACCGGTTCAATCCCAGCACTGACAAAAAAGTTAATACATTAACTGTGGTTGTACACTGATGAAAGTAGATGTTTTGTAAACTAAATATATTTTTAATTGGAGGTATGTAATGAAACTAGAGCCCACATTGTTTTGTTTTGTTTTTTAAATCCAAACCAAGGAAAGCATCCCCACCAGCATGTCTCATCTTTTCACAAAACCACACCAAGATTTTGCTGCTGAAGCTTTCTTTTCTAATGATATAACCTGAACACCACCCCACTTACTAATCTGTCAGAACACAAACTGTTCCCCCAAATACTTAGAAGCTCTCACAATACAGCTACCTCTCAAATGGCACTGGCACGCTGCTGGATTAAACACCATGCAATTATGGTACAATATTACACCTGAAAAGGTGTGTATGCTCCAATGGTCTTGAGTTTAGTTTATGAAGTTATTAGCCTTATTCCCCTCAATTCCCCTGAAATGCCAACAAATGCAACTACAGTAAGTGGGATAGTCATTCAAACTTTAATCTCCCTTTACATATTATATTAACATTCATATTACAAGGCATTCCATCCACAAATATTACAGTTTGATAAAAACTTTAAACACGCATACACACCCAGAAGTCTACACCAGACTCAATCACTTTACTAAATTATTAATATAAAGTCATGAAAACATTATCATTCTCTTAAAGCAGTAAGGTCGGAGGCACTCTGGAAAAGATGATGTCTTAAAGTATGTGTCACTGGTATATCAAGTATATTCTCACAGCAACTTTATGATCTGCTGTGTCTCCACTGCATACACTTGTATTTGGACAACCATGAAGAGCAGATGCTGGCACCAGAGCCATCTTTTGATGATGCTCTCAACTACAAGACGTGAGGTACACTTGCAATACGGACAGCAGCCCCCACACACACACACACTGAGCACTTACAGTACTGCAACAAGTTCCTTTCTCACTGTTGTTTACTGAAGGGTGAAACTCACAGCCACCCGTGAGTTTGGAATTCTTTTCCCCCATTATCTGCCTGCCACAGGACAACTGCCACTCTTCGGGGGTACGTATACCTTAGAACAGAAGGGTTCTGACCTCACACTTTTTTCTGGCCAGAGTCTGAAATAACAATGTATTGTGAGGTGATTCTGCAGTTGCCAGCCACCGTCTACAGCACAGCTACTTTACCACACCAGACCTCACAAAGTCTGACAACCTCCCAAGTGGACCTTACCATTCCTTCACCAACACGGTCCACAGTGCACACTGCAGAAGTCTTCCCTACACACATACAAGGGTAAGTAATTAACATTAGGGCGAGAAGAGGCCAATTCCCAACTAGGAATTAATCACTAACAAATTATAGATCCACTTATGACAGCAGATATCCTGTCAAAGCAGAATCAACCCAGACCAAAGGTCATATAGTGTTCAGTAATTATGTATATGGAATTTAAAATGTATATATTTCTCCACATATATATCAATATATAATAAAAATCTGGAACAACTGTGTTGCTAAGGTTTCAAGATTTTTTATCTTCAGCATTCCCCTGGAAAGCGGCTGGCCCTTGGCGGCTGGTCTGTGGCAGTGATAAAGCAATGAGAAGTGGATTTAGGGTCAAAGTGCTCAAGGGACAAGAAAGAAAACCCAGTACAGCGAACTGAGGGGGTGAGGCCAGGGACTGAAGGAAGTAAGCAATGTTTCATTTATTCTTCTCAGCTTTTCAGACCCCAAAAGAAGCTCTCGAGGACACACACCAAGTGCTGGAGTCTTTTCTTATCCACAGCCAAAACAAAAGGAGTGACTTTTAAAAAGCTCTTCATGTCTGTACTTTCAATAAAATGCACAGTACAAGATGGTGTTCAGACATTAGGCATCTCGGGAAAATTAAAACTGGGACATGAAATGAGGCCGAGAGCTATCGAGTCTCCGGGTGAGAATTTCACAGCCAGTGTCCGTGACCAGCAGGGTGTGCTCAAACTGAGCCGATCGCTTCCCGTCCCTTGTTACTGCAGTCCAACCATCTGGCCAGGTTTCATCCTGCCATCCACCTTAAACAAGCAAAAACAGTTGCTTAGTTTTGTCGTCCACAATTCTAAATAGTCTCAGGTAAGTATGTAACAAGAAAGGAAATAGCCTATTGGTGGCGTATGCCTTTAATCCCAGCACGTGGGAGGCAGAGGCAGGTGGGTGGGTCTCTGTGCCAGCCTGGTCTGACACCGTGAGTTCCAGGACAGCCAGGGCTGTTACACAGAAAAACCCTGTCTGCAAAAACAAACAGAGAAACCAGGCAGTCAAATGTACTATCAAGACCCTCCTAATGGCTGGTTTTAGGTCAAGCCTGTCATTCCCATCGGCAGAACTAATGAAGTAACCATGTCCAGTTTTCCTCATGTGTAGCAATTTAACAATTTTTATATTTCTTGGTATCAAATCAAGGTGGCATTCCCAAAATAAAGGCATCAGACTTCCTTTCAGCAAACACATAGAAACAACTTCCCACAGAACTGATCAGAAACTTGAACTGGCAACCAACCTTCCAGAGTAACCAACTATCTCAGTGTACAAAGTGAACATTAGCTCCTGCACTGTTACAGCGTGTGACTCCTGATGCAATTGTAAATGGCTGATAACAGATTGTAATATGAAATCCTTATGACCAGAAAAAGAGGAGCAAAGAGAGGGTTTGTTTTATTTCTCTGTGTAATCCTGGCTGTCCTGGAACTAGCTCTGTAGACCAGACTGCACTTGAACTCAAGAGATCCATCTGCCTCTGCCTCCAGAATGCTGTGATTAAAGGTGTGTGCCACCACCATCCAGTTTGAGAAATAGGTTGTTTTGTTGTTGTTGTTGTCTTGGTTTTTTAATGATTTTTTTTATTTACATTGGTATTTGCCTACACATGCATGTGTGTAAGGATGCTGGATTCCCTGGAAATGGAATTACAGATAGTTGTGAGCTGCCATGTGCATGCTGGAAACTGAACCCAGGTCCTCTGGAAGAGTAGCCAGTGCTCTTAATCACTGAACCATCTCTCCAGCCCAGAGAAATAGGTTTTTTTGAGGGCTAAGAAAAATGTGAGAGCTTAGGAGATGGCCCCATTGGCAAAGCACTAGCCTTAAAAACACTCAGCCCTGAGTTTCATGCCAAGCACCCATGAAAAAGCTAGGCTCCAGAGAGTTAGACAGCTCTCCGGGGGCTTGACAGCAGCCAGCCTAGCCTAATTGGTTTCAAAAACAAAGTGGATGGCTCCAGAGAAACAGAACATGGGGTGACCTCTGGTCACTGAAGCACACTGAGTATTCATACCTGGAAAGCCTGGAAAGGTGAGCTTCCATGGAGGGCTCAGAGACACCAGTCAACAGCAGTGGCATGCTGCACTGCTTAAACCCAATGAAGAACTGGCAGAAGTACTTCCCAGTTATAATCTGAGAACTGCTCATGACAAACAAGGAGCCGTCATTACAGCCTGTGCTGCCAGAGGACCAGGAAGAATGCCAGCAGACATCAGTGTCTATGATGTGCTTCCTTGTGATGCTGCATGAAACCACAGGTGTGGATGTTGACTTGAAGGACCGGATGGATGCCCATCATAAGCAGCTATGTGTCCTGAGCAAGTTAAGACTCTTCAAGGATCTCTTTACCCTTTCAATGCCTTCTTTTCTAGCTGGAATTAACTTGTATAACAACTGTGTCTGTCTCCTCTTCCTCCTCCAAATCACACAAGAGCTTCTAAAGAGGCTTGATGTAGGATCTTATTATTGTAACTCACCCTTTGATAAGATCTTTATGAATAGGGACCACAGTCAATGACTTTACACTTACTGACAGAAGAAGAATCAGGTAGAAAGTATCTTCTTCTTAGGAACCCTTAGATGTTCAATTCTCTACACACTACCAATCAAGCTGCAATTGGGAGAGCGAAGCAAAAGGAAGCAAACAGAAGCAGCTACTGACTTGATGGGTAAGAAAAATAAAATCCAACAAATGTTACAAAGTCTGGCATTTCAGCAGAAAAGGATGCTTGTCACCAGCCTGACAACCTACATTTGTTTCCCAGGCCACACATGGTAGAGAACCAATCCCTACTCATTATCCTCTACATATGTGTGCACTTGCAAAAATTACAGACAAAAAATAAGAAAAAAAGAAATGTTACACATAGAGTACAGGAACACACACTCACCTTCACAAATCATTGGCTCAATTGTAAACACATGGCCCGACTTCATCACACCAACTGCCTTATTTTCTGAAATCAAAAGAAAGTCTCAGGAGACACCAAAACCCAACAGCATTGAACTGAACAGCTCTCAGGAGCACAGGGCTGACATTCCCAGCAACTGCCCTTCACTACTCTCCCAATTCTCCCAGCCTGTCATTCAGCATCAGTAACCATCTGTCTGTGGGCAGATTTTATTCTAGGCTTATGCTTTCTACGATAAAATATAGGGATATCCACAGACTCAGCTTCAGATACAATCACCATGTGGGAAAGCAGTCTTTATGTTAATACAGATTAGAAAAGGCAAAGACTGATGGGTGTGGTGGAGCACATGAAATTCCCAGAACTCCACAAGCATGTGGGAGAGAGTAGTTGTCCAACAGAGTGCCATTACCCATCACCCACCCACTTATGGAAGTTGACTGACATATGTCATATGCCAGAAGTCTCTCATTTCTTTGAGGAAGTGGAGTATGTTTATATAATGGAACACACTAATGCACACCTTTCAGAAAGGTTTGTAAGTAATCTCTTTGAGATTTGGAAATAAAACTGTGCATAGTAGGCAATTTGTTTAAATAATGAGGAGACATTTATTTCTGTCTGAAAACAAATGGCATTTCACACTAAATACTTCCTTTGGCCCTTTGGCAAGTTCACAAATAATATTTTTCAGGACTACCAAGAGACATGATTAAGAATGCCCAGTCTTGTTTGGCTTCCAAAGCCAGAGTTTAAAACTAGGAATAGTCTTGTCAGAGGATCCTGACCAATATATGGAGCACTGTTTTAAATTTAAAAACTTAGAGCTTAAAGGGGACAAATCAGCTAAACGAGTGCGACATTTACTCAGGCTGGCCACCAGAGGGCACACACGTCAGCTACTCCAAGGTTCTCTTCCTGTGAAGGCATCCATCCCAGCGGGATTGCTACTGTACAAACACCACCTGTATCTACTCCAGCTGGGTGGGCAAGCTACTGTTTAGGTGTGATGGAGCCTCACCCACACAATTCCATTCCAGCCCCTCCTGGTATACAGCCAGCCACACTACTTGGCTTCCCAAAGTGCACTCACAGCAAATCCTGTTCTTAAACTCATGGGAACCCTTGGAAGCAGAAATAAACTAAGAACTGAATGAATTAGGTTTTTCATTTCTAATATTGTGAACTTTCTCCCAAAATGGCCTGCAACTTCTGATTTTGAGGGAGTCAGTACCCCTGGGTCTATCAAAGAGAAAATGCTTAAAAAAAAATCCTTGCATGAAGGGCTGTGCCACCTGACGCTGCCACAGCAATAGAGATGTTAAAAGCAAGGGTGTGGGGGTGGGGGTGGGCAAAATACCACCAAACTAAAAACTGAAACAGAGATACTATGTATCTCTGACTCTTACACTGATTAAACATTGGGACATCTGAAGTATAATGGATTCACAGGGGAGAGGATTAAATCCCACTGATGAGTGTTATAAACACTCTGCAACACAGACAGATGACTTGCTACTAGATGTGGCCAACACAGAAAATCTTACCTTCCAGACCTGCTTCTGTCCCTCGTACATTGTTCATTTGAAAGAACTGTAACTCCTACTACACATGCCATAAAATGTTTTCGTTTCACTAACAACTCACTCGACAGACAGGTTATCTGAGGGCAATATTACTGTATCAAACCCTGAGCTGGGTACAGAGGGCAGGGGCAGGTGGATCTCAGAATTCAGGGCCACCCTGATCTACACAGTAAGTCCCACACAGCCAGGGCTACACAGTGAGACCCTGTCTCCAAAAAATAAAATAAAATAAAAACTTGTGCCTAACTCAAGTGTACATGTAAAAGTAGAGGACTGCCACCATGACTTCCATCACAAATGACTTAGAAACATACCAAATGTGGAAAATGACTTGCCTTCTGTTTCAGTTTTCTTTCTTAATTTTTTGTATAATTTTCTTTTTCTTTTTGGTTTTTCGAGACAGGGTTTCTCTATAGCTTTGGAGCCTGTCCTGGAACTCAATTTGTAGACCAGGCTGGTCTCAAACTCACTGAGAGCTGCCTGCCTCTGCCTCCTGAGTGCTGGGATTAAAGAAAGGCATGCGCAACGCACTACCTGAGTTTTTTTTTTTTTTTTTAATTTTCATTTTTAGTTTATGTATATATACAGGTATTTTGCCTATGTCTATGCACCATATATGTATTTGATGCTTGCAGAAGCCAGAAGACAGCGTCAAATTCCCTGGACCTAGAATTATAGAGTTAATAAACTGTCATGTGGGTACAGGGAATCCAGCCCTGGTCCTCTGGAAGAATAGCCAGTATTCTTAACCATTGAGCCATGTCTCCAGCCATGTTTTCTTCTTATTTAAGAATGCTTTAATGTGAAACTTAGGGTCTCTGGTAAACCACACTAATGACTCACATCTCCTCCTCCCCACAAATGTCACTGTCTTCAGCATCACTAATGCATACTTAAGCCAGCTTGTTACCTCTGCACTTGGAAAGAATTTCACTCCCTCTCTGCAGTATCTAATACACATGGCCCTGGTGCTGAGAGCAGCACGTCAGTTCTCGGGTTACTTGAGGCTTTAACACGTACAAATAAAACTGCTACATGTTTTCTACTGCTAGAGTCTTTTCTTCTTTCTTCCTCTCCCTTTTCTCCTAACATCGCACTCAAAGAACGACATGGTCTGCAAGGGAGTGCTCACTGGTAGACGCCCTGGACGCTGCAGCCCTGCACCACTCTAGCTTCCCCGTCACTCTAAAATATCAGCTCACTTTTTACGTAGGAATGTCAGGCATCTCTAAGTGCCCCAGGTATCAACAACTCCTGAATGTCATCATTCCCTACTACTGTAGGACAAGAAAAACTAACACACAGACATTACTGAGTGTTTACATAAAAGCTCAGAAACAGAGAGAGAGGAAGAGATGTGTCTAAGTGCCTACAGTCATGTGCATTAAATTCCTCCTGTTGCTCACTTTCATGGACAGCTTTCACTTCTAACCCTAAATAACAAATGCAACTCCTGCTAATGGTTAATCTTCCAGAGAAAATATCTCTGGAATACAATGTCTTAGACTTCCTTTGTTTTCAGTAAGTACCTTATTCTCCTTTATTAAACCTACATATAATGCACAAAGAACTCACTCCACATGAAGACGAAATGATTTCACCTAAGGAACCAGAAGGATGACAGTAAGACTATGCACTGATTGCCACAATCCATTTATGTTTCTCCAAGAGGACTTACTAGATTACACTTCCTGTTTCCCTTGCCATTAGACATAATTGCAACACTGAACTCCTGCAAGTTGAAAAAAACAATATAGGTGATTTATGCCAAGCTCCGGCTGGTGGACTAAAACTCCCAAGCATGTCCTTCCAAGCATCTCCCCTGACACATTATCTGCTGACTAGGAAGCAGTCTCAAGGTGACCTGAAAAGATGGGTTGAAGACAACAGAGCCTAGATCACCTCTTCACGGCCACACCTTACAGACTATCATGTGAAAGACTTCAATCTGACTTGTGTTTGAACACGTAAAACATTACTTCAGTGAATACAATATAGGAAGCCCTGACTCATACTTGAGTATTTGTTCATAAATAGAAATATCCAAATATTTGGATAGTACTCACTGGCATAGTGTGGTACATTGGGAGCTGTATGGAAAAGTTTGTGGATTCCATGTCCACAATAGCTTCGAACAACTGAGAATCCATTTGCTTGGGCATGTTTCTGAATGATGTTTCCCAGTTCTCTGTATCGAACACCAGGCTTCACTGAAAGAGAAAAAAACAATGAGAAGAATTGTACTTAACTAGCAGTTGGTTTCCATATAGCAAGGACCTCCGTAAACACTGTGCCTTCATGCCTAGATCATACATGTGAGGAAATGAAGGCACAGAGAAATCCAGATAGCTAGTAAATGGCAAAGCTGATTCAAACACAGGAGCACCTCCTTTAATGCAGAAAGGGGGAGAACACCATGCAGAATACAAAGGGGTCAAAGAAATGCACCATTTGTATTCCCTAAGAACAAACACCAAACAACAGAATGGAAAACACATTTTTTTAAACCCTCTTTCCCTAAGGGTTCTCTACAGGAACAGAACTTATGGAATGGAAAAAATAATGCATTTTTTTGAAATATGAATGTATAATCATATATATATGGGAGGGTCTTATTAGAACAGTTAACAAGTTGTGCTCCAGCTAGTCCAACAATGACTGTCTACCACCAAAGGGTCCAAGAACCCATTAGTCATTCAGTTCATGAGGCTGGATGTCTCAGCTGGGCTTCAGAATACACCAGAATCACAAGGTAGTGAAGGAATGGCCTTGCCAGAGAGAATGAGAACAAGTAGGCAGAGAGCAAGCCCCGCTCGTCCATGTTCATACAGGCTACCAGATTAAAGGTGGCTCTTCCCACCCAAAGATCTTCCTTCCCACTTCCAATTGTTTACTTGAGAAAGAAAATCCCTCACAGGTGTGTGAGCTCAGCCATTTGGGTTTTAGATAGTTCCAGATGTATGCAAGTTAACAAACAAGAATAGCCATCACACTAAGAGTCAAACAACAGTTTCAGATGTATTCAAGTTAACAAACAATAAGAATAGCCATCACACTAAGAGTCAAACGTTTCCTTCCACATTCCATTCCAATGGCAGAAGACATGAGAGTGTACAGCATTGAGATGATTCAGCCAGTAAAAGTGTTTGCCACCAAGCCTGAAAACCTGAGTTCAATCCCCAGGAGACACATGTTGGAGAGTACTGAGCCTAGCATGTACAGGTGCACACAATAAATACCAAACAAATGTAAAGCATTGAAAGAGAGAGAACATGAAATACAACAGGAGAAAGGAAATGTCCAAATAGTAACTTGCCTTCCCCAGGTTTCAGTCAAATTATTTGCCTGGATTCCTCATTCCCATTACTGGTTCTCAGACTGCACAGCTGTCTCTGCAAAAAAGCCCAGGTCTAGAAAGGCACTCTGCATGCTATTCTTACCATTCTGCTTTATACTGCATTTCGGCACTGTTCCCATGAAATCAAAGGACTTATTGTCACTGCTATTCCAGTGGTGTGGCACTAAGACTCCTGGAGAATCCCGCATGTGTCTGAAGGTCCTGACGCCCTCCAGTCTCTCTTCTTCAGGTCACTGAGCTACCCCATCCAGGTTTCAGAAAAACTTCCCCTAAAGGATTCATTTCCTCCCGTATAATTAAATGTCTGAGTAACCAGTCGAAGGGATATTTTAATCAACATTTCTGAGTTTTTGAGGAACCACCACAATAACTTTTCCTGTGGTGATATTTTGTTTATAATCTAACAAATAAAGCTTGCCTGAAGATCAGACACAGTCCAAAGCTAGCCACACTAGACAGCTACAGAAGTCAGGCAGTAGTGACACGCACCTTTAATCCCAGCACTAGACAGGAATATAAGGTGGGGGAGACAGGAGTCAGTCAGTCTACAATCACTCTGAGGACAGGCTCACCCCTTTTGGTCTGAGCACTGGTAGAGGTGAGAACTCTCCAGTGGCTGGCTGCTTTGCTTTTCTAATCTTCAGCTTGAACCCCAATACCGGTCTCTGGGTTTTTATTATTTGTGCTACATTTTCCAGTAATTTCTTTTTCCAATCCCACCCAGAGCTTATCATTTTTGAGGAGGTGGTGGACATACAACAAAATTGCAAGCCACAGTGCAAATTACATAATGAAAGAAATCCTCATTCAACAGTAATGGCAGAGGAAGCAAGGATTCTTCCCCAAATATAAACCTGGGGACAACCTTGATCCTAAGGGTATTCTCTGGAGACACTATTAGTCACATAAGGGAAGAGGTTGGTAGCTGGCATCCAGTGGATAGACACCAGAGATACATCTTAAAATGAAATAAAGTATTACCAGACTCAAAGTGCCATTAATAGACACACCCAAAACTTCTACTTTAGAAAGTAATTTTAATAACCTTTCAAGCTTTCTATACTCCACACTAGGGAGGGAAGTTGATTTTTAACTGTTACAAACATTGGATTTTTCTTTAAAATATGGAACATTTCCTAAATTTGTGTGTTAACATCTTGTCTATCTTCTCTAGCATTCCAGCTTGTGCTGCCAGGGCAAGCAGTAACGTTGTGTTTTTACAGGTGTAGCAGCCACCTACAGAGTCAACACCTTGTATTCTTTCCTGACTACTGCTAGGAGGGTCAGTTTCTGGTCACTTCTTGCCAAATATCGCTGTACAGCACTCCAAATGTCTGTCATGTCAGACATGTTACAGAGGCAAACGACAGATACAGTACACAAATTATTTGGGTAAAAATCTTAAAAATAATTGAAAATTGAAGCTCACAAAAATAAGAACACTAAAGTTATTATGTTATTGTAATAATGACCAAAATTTTGAAGATTTTTATTTAACAGTAACTAAACTTGGGGAGAGAAGACTTCCCACACTAATAAGTTATCATTTTCACTTTAACCCATGCAGCCTTTATGTAAATCAATAAAAGCTTTCTCAAACAGAACAGTGAAAAAAAAATAAAAATAAATCAGTGTTGTTAGACTTAACCATGCATTTGTTAAAGAATTCCACTCTGGCTGGGTGGTGGTGGCTCACATCTTTAATCCCAACAGAGGCAGGATAATCTCTGAGTTCAAGGCCAGCCTGGTCTACAGAGCAAGTGCCAGGACAGGCTCTAAAGCTACACAGAGAAACCCTGTCTCGAAGAAAAAAAATAAAGAAAAAAAGAAAGAAAGAGAGAAAAAATGAAAGAAAGAAACAAACAAACAAAAAGAGTCAGGCAGTGGTGGCGCACGCCTTTAATCCCAGCACTCCAGAGGCAGAGGCAGGTGGGTCTCTGAAAGTTCAAGGCCAGCCTGTCTACAGTGCAAGTTCCAGAACAGCCAGGTCTGTTACACAGTAAAGCCTACCTCAAGATAGATAGATAGATAGATAGATAGATAGATAGATAGATAGATAGATAGATAGACAGACAGACAGACAGACAGACAGACAGAAGTGAACGCTGGTGGTACATAGTGGAAGTAGGTGCATGGCTGAGGCTGACCTGCATCAATGGCTTGCATCAGGCATTCATATGTAGTCTGAACAAGTTTCCGAGCTCCTTCATCCACATCTCCAACAAAAAAGGTCTCATTTAGATCCCCGTGATAACCATTTCGATAAAGAGTGATATCCACTGGAAGGAAAAACAAGGGCAAATGTAAGCAAATGAAAACGACACTGTCTGCATCCTCAAGAGAGTGTAGTGTTGACTAAGAGAAACCGTCAAGAGAAATTCAACTGAACTCACTGCAGAGACAGGAGCATGGCTGTGCAGAACGAGAGAGACAGACTCGGGCTTTTATGCTAGTAATGAGATCCTTTGTAACAGCAGAGACATTAGTTACAAGACAGCTAGCTGTGAAGGATAGCTAAGTAACCATGTTGGCAACACGGAACTAAGTTCTGAAATTAAACAGACAACATTTCCAGTTGTCTTTAGCTCACTCTTCCTGGGACAAGAGCAAAGCCTATCTAGTTCTAGGTTTTTAAAGAAAATCCCACTGGTCTTTCATCCATCTTTAAGTATTCGCCCATCTTTATCCAAGTTTAAAATAAAGATTACTATGGTGTCACTACAATAAGCTACATCTCTCTCTAGAGAACACACAAAATGAGTATCTTTACACTATGGATTTTGAGTAGCTATCAACACTGTAGAGTAGACAATTCGTTCCTCAAAATGCCATATGCTGTGCATATAACAAAAAGAAAAAGGTTTAGCCAGGTGTGGTAGTACATACCTTTAATATGTACCACTGGGGAGGCAGAGTCAGGAGGAACTCTTTGAGTTCAAGGTCAGTGATAGCTAACATAATGAGACCCTGTTGCAAATAATAATAACAATAATTAAATATTATATGACTAGCAGAGCTGAACTCAGAACTTATGTTTATAAACAACCTTAAGTAAGTCAGTAACAACTACAATAAAGACAATATTATATTTAGTCTCTTCTATCTGTAGTCCATAAATTGGATTTTGCTTCTTTGGATACTAGAAAGGCTGATTTCATTAATAATAAAAATGCCCTGTAGGGGCCTTTAGAGATGCCTCAATGGATAAAGTGCTCCCTGGGCAATAACGAGGACCTGAGTTCCTATCCCCAGCATCCATGTAAATAAAGTTGGGTGTGGAATGCATGCCTGTGACCTCAGCCTTGGACAGCAGACACTGAGGATCCTGGGGCTGCAATGGCTAGCTGTCTAGTTAAAACCACAAGATCCACGTTAGTGAGAGCCTTCAAAAGTAAGGTAGAGGGCTGGAGAGATGGCTCAGAGATTAAGAGCACTGGCTACTCTTCCAGAGGTCCTGAGTTCAATTCCCAGCACCCACATGATGACTCACAACCATCTGTAATGAGATCTGGTGCCCTCTTCTGGCCTGCAGGCAGACATGTAGGAGGAATGATGTATACATTATAAATAAATCTTAAAAAAAAAGTAAGGTGGAGAGAGTGATAGAGGAAAACACCCAGTGTTAACCTCTGGTGTCCCCACAAGTGTGCACAGGTGAGCACTCACACATACAAGAACACACTCATACAAGCGCAAGCTTTGCATTATAGACATTTCAACGCATAAGATGAACTATATACATATATAATACAGCATGGGACGTCTAGGGAAGCCTATCATTTTTAATTGTTTTAATCATTTGAGAACTTAATACATGAATATAATGGGTTGTGACCAAATCCACCCCCTATTAGTCCTTCCAATCCCAACTTCATGTGTTGGTTTTAAACACTCCCAAGTCCTCTTAGTGCTACTTACAGGTACATAGGTGTAGGACATTTGAGTCACACCAGGCCTGACTCTCCCTCCCTCGGAAGCCATTGTTCTTTCTCAACTAAGGAGAGGACTTCATGAACCCTCTGCACTCCCCTCAATTCTGGAATTTTGGTGGCATGGTCTTGTAAAGGTCTGTGTGTTCAGTCACAGGTGCTGTGAATTCATGTGTCCAAGGCCGTAATGCCCAGCAAACACTGTTTCACTGCAGCTGTCTACAGCCTTGACTCTTAGGATCTTTCTTCCCCCTCTTCTAAAATGGCTCCTGAGCCTTGGCAGGGGGTGGGGTGAGGGGATGACGGTGTGAGAGAGCTGTTCCGCTTGGAGCTAAGCACAAGTCTCATCTGTTTCTCTGCACACTGCCTACTTATGATCTCTGCATTAATCGCCATCCACTGCAAAAAGAAGGTTCTCTGATGAAAGCTGAGAGCTGTACTCATCTGTGGGTGTGAAGAGAAGAACCTAGGGTGTCCTGTAATGCTGTGTCCATTTAGCAGAAAGGTAGTATCACGTTCGCTGATCATAGCTTGGCCCATGGATTTCTTAAATCAAAAAGTAGCTGTTTATCCCCATAACTTCCATGTTATGATTACACCAGGGATCATCTTTTGCCAAGCCAGTTGTCACTGTAGCTCACAGGGTTCACAGCTGGGTAAGGCTGCTGATTACTTTTCTCTAGGGAACTTACTTCATGGATACTTTCAATCCCAAAGGGAAAGGTTACTGTAGCTCAACACACACAGTGTTTCCAAGACAGCAGAGTACAGGAGTCCAAAGCCACTCCATTTTAAAAAGCTACTTCTTGGGCTGGAGAGATGGCTCAGAGGTTAGGAGCACTGACTGCTCTTCCAGAGATTGTGAGTTCAATTCCCAGCAACCACACGGTGGCTCACAACCATCTGTAATGAGATCTGGTGCCCTCTTCTGGTGTGCAGATATACATGGAAGCAGAATACATAATAAATAAAAATTTTTTAAAAAGGTACTTCTTCTGCCTTTTCTTAAGGTCTTTATAAATTACAACTAAGGGTTTCTCTGAAATCTCTCCTGAAAACCTACCCTGATCTCTTCATAACCGTTAGTAAATTTTGGTAAGGAAACTATACAATGGGCACAGTATTATTGCTTCCCTGATCTCTTCATAACTGTTAGTAAATTTTGGTAAAGGAAACTATACAATGGGCACAGTATTATTGCTTCTGCACTGGTGTCTCTTGCCTACAACCCTGTGGAAAAAATACATGTTGTACAGAACACATCATACTAGATAAATGCTGAAGGCAACACACACACAACAACACACTCAACAAAAACAGGTTTCCTGCCATGTGTGGGGAGCAGAGACAGGCAGAATTTTGTGAGTTCAAGGCCAGCCTGATCTACATAATGAGTTCTAGAACAGAGAGGGCTCTGTAAAGAGATCTTGTCTCAAAATAGAAACAGCAAAGTGGGGTTCCTTCATTTTTGAGTGATGCTGAGTTTTAAATAGAGGAAAAATTAAGTCAAGAAAACAGAAACAACCTAACAGACTCCCAAAACTTGTTTCTTTGCTCATAATGAAATGTTTCTTACCATTAACAATATCACCTTCTTGCAAAGGCCGTCTGTCTGGAATCCCATGGCAGATGACTTCATTCACTGAGGTACAACAAGACTTTGG